TATGGACAAAATATGAACCCGATCGGTGATTAACACTTGGGATAGTTCCCTCGTTAGACATAATATGTACGATACCGATGACAATACAACTAGAAGAGTCGCTCGCAGATGATAAACATAGCAGGGTCCATTAAATATTCCTCACTTGAAATGTTTCATATAGAATGTTTATCACGAGTACGTGTGACATATGAGACGTTTGAAACAGTTGAGTTTTCTACTCGATAAAAAGTGAATCTCAAGTCATCGAAATATGAATGAGCTTTAAAAGAAATATCCTCACTACAGGAAAAAACAGATAGCATTCTGGTGAATAGATGTGGCTTAATCAATTTCACGACCGACTTAATACATACTATAATTATGAGATTTCGTAGTGCACTGATGACATTTCTAGTTATAAGGGGTGTTCCGGAAATTCTGAAACGATTTTAAAATTTATCGTTCTTGCATTCTACAAAAGCAAATTTGTTCAAACTTTGGTAGAATGTTGTACATATATAGTATTACATAACTATAAAGTTTGAGGTCTATAGGTTCTACTATGGATGAGAAACTGTAACAATACTGACATGTACTATTTTTTAAATTTTCCTGGTCATCTTCGAGATGTGCAACATTTTTTTATTACGTCTATATCTTGGCTTAGGTAAATGATAAAATCTTAAATTTTTCTTTAAAAGATGCGCCGTGAAAAGCTCTACAAATAGTGCAATAACAAATCCCTATTGACTTTGTGTTAATGGTTTCTGCCATACTCAAAATGAAAAATCTGTATGGTAGTACTACTTCTCACCATATTATGCGTAATAAAAAAAAGGTTTGGAAGACCTTTTTGCTTTCCAATAGGAATTTGTTTATATAGCTTTTGTAGAGCTTTCGACGGTGCATCTTTTGAAAAAGAAATCAAGATTTTATCATTTTCTCAAGCTGAGATACATGCAAAACAAAATGTTCTTCCAAACATTTCTTATTACGCACAATACGGTGAGAAGTAGTACCATCATGTAGGTTTTTCATTTTGTGTATGGCAGAAACCATTAACACAAGTCAATAGGGATTTGTTATTACAATTTTTGTAGAGCTTTTCACGGCGCAGCCTTGAAAAAAAATTCAAGATTTTATCATCTACCTAAGCCGAAATATAGATATTTTGGTAGACTCTGGATACAGGAAAATTTTAAAAATAGTACATCATAGTGTTGTTACAGGTTCTCCTCTACAGTAGAACCTATAGATCTCAAACTTTGTAGTTATGTGGCACTACATATGTGCAATAATATGTCAAAGTTTCAAAGAGTTTGCATTTGTTCAATGCGACAACGATAAATTTTAAAATCGTTTCAGAACTTCCGGAACACCCTTTATCATATCTTCGAATTTGATACTTTAGAATTTGATCTAAATGAAGTTAAATTTATTAATGATTCTTGAAAAGAACATCTGTCTACCATAGTAGTTTCGACTGTAGTTTTCCTTATATTAGAAGCTGGTTAGATAGTCCGTGGTTTGCCTTTTCATCAATTCCTGTGTTAGCCGTAGTATTTTAAATCTATTCATCAGTTTATCTTATCCGTCACTTATTTGAAACATGAATGTAAATAATTCAGTTTTCTTTTCGTTGATAAACTGATCGATTATATTCAAATTATCATTAGATTAATGTTAAATTGACATATGTTTATAGTTTATACTTTGAAAACAGTGCAGAGAATTTCTCTCTCATCAGTTCGTTTTTTTTATGTTAAGAGTAAGGTTACATTTTACTATTTACTAATTGGAATTTTTTTCTTTTTGTTTTTTTTTTAATAGTGGAATGGAATGACAAGACGTTAATGCTGTTCGACTAAACCTACGTATTTTATCTTTCTTTCCACTATTGAAAAATAACAAAAAGAAAAAAATATCAATAAGTAAATAGTAAAATATACACTTACTCTTAACATAAAAAGAAACGAACTGGCGAGACAGAAATTCTCTGTACTGTTTTCAAAGTATAAACGATAAACATACGTCAATTTAACATTAATCTAATGATAATTTCAATATAATCGATCAGTTTATCAATGGGAAGAGAGTTTGATTATAAATTGTTGGCGCTTCATCGTTTAGATGAAACGTTTGTTGATCATTATGAGGCGTGACAACGGATATTATTTCAACTGTTTAAACAGTGTCATTAGTCGCCAAAAATGCATTAAAACAGTTACAATTTCAATGACTCCAAGCATTTAAACATGTAAAACGTGTTAAAAGTTAATTTTTCGTAAACCGTTTTAACGCGTTTTTGGCGACTAATGACACTGTTTAAACAGTTGAGATGTTGAGACGTTTAAACGCCGGTTTTGCCGTCTTGTTGTCTGCTTGGGATTTGAGATCTATGTCTAATATGAGTTATTGTTTGTATTAAAAATAACTTCTTTTAGTGTTCATGTAAATCAATCAATCCATTGAGTGAATTTTCATTGAATGTGACATTTATCCAATGCGATGAAGTAGTGAGCGAAAGAGAAATTTGAGAAATTTGATTCGAAATTATTTTTGATATTGTGAATAAGTGAAATACATTCTCCTATATTTTTATTCCAACTTTTTTATTCTACATCTCTTTATCATTAAAATTCATTTTCGTTAATTTTCTATTGTCAATATTATTTGTTGGAAACTTTTACTTTTTTCATCATCATGATGCATAAAAAGAAAAAAGAACAGGTGAATTTTTGTTTGTCTTTATTGACGTCATCTACAAAAAAAATGAGTCAATATTGTAATTTTATTATCAGCAGAAAGTAACTTGTGCATAGGCATGCGACATGTTGCCACGTGTGAAATTCAATGTTTTTTCTTACTGCTCTGTTCTTCCTTGTTTTTAGAAGAAAACATTTGTGTGAATTCTTTATTGAATTAAAGTATTTTTTTGCAAAAAAGAACAGGTAGACTGAGCCAAATAAAGAGTATCTTTTATATAACATTGAGGTAAAATATTACAATAAAAGTAGAACAAAGAAGAAGACAGGTCAGTAGAAAAAAATATCTAAAAGAATCGATAATTCTTTTTTTATGCAATATTTTAGAAAATGGCAACGATAGAAACAAGTTTCAGACAATGTATTGAAGAACTTTCTTCAAAAAATACAGATTATAAATATCCTGAACAGGCAATAAATCAAGCTGAGTCATTAAAGTCCTTATCAAGTGATTTATATACAGACAATATACGATTTATTTATGAGTTAATACAGAATGCTGATGATGCACAAGCAAAGAACATCATTCTAACAATTCTAGAAGACAAATATTTCATTATTGCTCATGATGGTAAGGAATATTATTTATTTTTCTTTAACATATGATATTCACTTTTCTGCCTTTGGTCTGTGTCGAAAAAAAAGGGTTTATTATTCATCAGAATACTCGATAAGAGATGGTCGAATACGAAATATGTGAAAGAAGGGAGTAGACAGAACTGAATTTATCAAGAGAAAATGATTCACCTTCAAAGTACTACAAAATAACGTCAATGATGTTTTCTGCAGTTTATTCTTCTTTTCTCTTCCTCTTATCTTTATTCTTTTTTCTTAACGCGTAGACATAACATCATTTCAACATAATATATTCAGTCGATATAAATTTTACCGTTCTCAGTTGCTGCCGTCTGAAGACTATCAAGCGTAAGGCATAATGACGGATAGAATATGTTTAACACATTTATAATCAAAAAGTATAGAATAGATTTTGCATTAAAGTTGACGGTATGAGACAGTTCGAATACCAATATTGCTTGTCTATTATTGTTAACAATGACATATAAACTCTGTATTCGTCAACATGTATTTTATTTAGGAAAATCTTTTGATGAAAAAGATTTACAAGGTTTATGTGGTGTTAATAATGGAACAAAAAAGAAAGATCTGGATAAAACAGGTTATAAAGGAATTGGATTTAAAGCGGTTTTTGGAAAATCAGATTATGTTATTATTTATTCAAATGGAGAATATTTTCGATTTGATTCTTCTTATCAAATAAAATGGAATAAACAATGGGGAACTAATGATCAACAAGCATGGGAAAAAAATAATGATCGACAGTTTATTTATCCATGGCAAATCAATCCTATATGGACTAATGACAATGAAATACCAAATCGAATTAGAAATTTTCTTAATTCAAAAAAAAAACAAATCCATGTGGCTTATGCAATTTTATTAAATAATGTTGGAGAAATTCATTTAGCTATAGATCAGTTAAAACAACAACCATATATGTTTCTTTTTCTACGAAATATTTCTCGAATAACATTTTTAACACAATTAAATGATACGATTTCGATTGCTCGTCATTTCAGTCATGGTTTAAAACAAGTTTATATCAATAAAAAAATTGATTCACAATGGATTATCAAACGCTTTGAATTAGATGTTCCAAAGAGCATACGAGATAAATTAGTTGGAGATTCTAAAGCACCTGAAAAATTACGATCGATAGAAAAAGCCGAAATGTTTTTTGCCGCAAAATATAAAGATTCAACAACTGATGAAAATGAAGAAATGATTAGTGGTGGCATAGAAAAGTTGCGTGATCAAGATTCAATTCTCTTCTCTTATTTACCAACTAAAATTTCCGAATATAAATTTCCAGTTTTAATCAATGCTAATTTTCTAACAAATGTAAATCGAGAACAAATTCATACAGGTAAATTTGTTGATTGTTTAAAATTTCTTTTCAAATTGTTTTCATATATAACATATTTTCGTTTGTTTGCTTAGATTCTGTGTGGAATCAATGGTTATTTAATAAAATAGGTAGTGAAATATTTCAATGGATAATAGAATTAGTAAAAGACAAGAAATTTCGTTCTCAAGCTTATCGTTTGATTCCATCAAAATTAACTTTAATAAACAACATTTTATCGAGACAATTCGATGATTCATTTGCGGTGACTATTAAAAATTGTAGTTTTATTCTCAATAGAAAAAATCAACTGTTAAGGGTAAGTCGATAAAATTATTTACTAATTTCATCTATTTGAAATACAATGCAGAAAATGCTAACGCTTATATTGCTAGTGCCAAAATGCTTTTTAACTTGCAGTTTTCATTAGTTTAAAGAAAAGATTGGAAGAATATTATTTAATACAAAAAAAATGATTATCTCCAAACTGATCATTTCGGTTAGCCAGAAATGATCTTCCCTCGAGTAGTAGAAAGGCATATCTTACAAGGTCGCATGCGATATCTATTGTTTAGCCAGGAACATATAGTTTGAGAAGTCATCATATCGAGAGCTGAGTATTATTACTGAACTCGCAATCGAAAGAAAATCCATAAGGAAATTATACCTCGATACAATTTTGAAAAGAAATACTTTTTCATTTCTGTATGACTTTAAGGTTAGTGAAGCCGTTATGGATTCAACGTCAATGTCCAAACAATCATCATTTGTTGATATCAATTCAATGCGTGAGTATATACACAATAATAATAGGTATTATTCCCAGTATGCTGATTATCCATTTATTGATTATGATCAAAATTTATTGCGAGTTGGTGTTAGACAATTTACTTGGGATGAGTGTATTGTCATGTTTAAATCAGATATATTTCTCAGAACTCATTCACCAGACAAAAATAAACTAATGATCGAATATTTTTATTCAAACTTTTCTAAGATCGGTACAGCTAATGATATAAATATTAATATTGAACAAATTCCATTTCTCATGGATCAAAATAATCATTTACAATTAATCAAAGATATTTATTTCCCTGCTGAAACCATTGGTGATAGTGGAACAAGTGATTCGGATAATTTATTTATAAATAAAATAATATTCGATTGGTTAAATGAAAAGACTCAAAAATCAATAAAACAATGGTTACAAACATTAGGTGTTATTCAACGAACTGATTTAACTTTTTTAAATAAAACAGTTATTCCAAATGCATCAACTTATATTACATCAGAAAATGCTCTAAAAACGATAAAAATGTTATTTATGTTATTTCAAAAACATGATATTGAAAAAAAGGAACTCAACCAATTAAAAAAATTAAAATTATTAACAACACGTGGAACATTAATAGCAGCTGAACAATGTTTTTTCTGTGATCAATACAAACCGCGATTGCCGCTTGAAGAATATTTAAAAGCAAAAGAAGATAAATTTTTATCTTTCGACTATGTCAGCAGCGATATTTTCAAAAAGGAAAACGAAGATCTGACTGAATGGCGACGATTTTTCATTATGATGGGTGTTCAGGAGGAACTACATCCGATCGTATTTAACAGAAAACTGACATCTTACGAAGCAGTTGGATATGGATTTTGTGACGAGTATTTAGTTACAACTTCACCTGACGGAAAGCATATAGTTGATGCCTTTTCCGGATTAATAACAATTACATTCATGCAATATACACAAAGTAAGAATATCGATTGATCCGATATTAGTAAACTTACCTATCTATATTAAACGAGTTATATAGCTCAAAATGTTGTCCAAATTTTCAAAATTTCTATATTCTCAATAATTATTTCTGTGGAACTTTTTGATTGAGATAAAGAACAGGATGTTTATTATTTTTTTTCTTTTTATTGTCCCGATAGATAATTATGACTTTGCAAAATTCTTTTGGTTATATGTGATCAAAAATATTAGAGCAGAGATCTTAACGCAAAATGTAAGAATTTATTGGGGTCACTCCAATAAACCAGGTGCAACTGTTGGAACATTATTAGATGATAGCAATTATATTAATTGGTTCATCAAAAACATAAAATGTATGCCAACCACTATAAAGACATGTGAATTATCAAGTAATATATTTGCGGACAACAAGGAATTGAAAGAATTATGTGGGAAATACATGTGTTTTCCTTCGATTTCGTTACCACAAGATAAGATAATTTGGCATAGTATATTTAATTTCAAAACAAAACTTTCTGGTAATGATTATTTTGATTTACTTGAAAAGATTCGTCTTGATGAAAGAAATTTAAAAGATAATCTTGATCGTATACAAATGATATATTATCATATATTAAAAGAAATATATTTTTGGTCATCCGATGAACGAAAGACAATGAAAACACAAGCAAAATCCTTTTATCTATTAACTGAAAACGATCAATGGAAATTGGCTAATGATTTATATCTGTATATGGAGGGTAATGGAACAAATAACAATTTAAATGATGCAATTCCATGTCTAAAACTTGATTATAAAAATAGAAATCATTCACATTTGAATCAATTTCTGGATTTATTTAATATAAAACAAATTAAAATGAATGATTTAAAACTTGTTGATAAACAATCTTCCCCTGCTGAACACTTCAGAAGAAAACTAATTGAAATTTCACCATTTCTGAAGAAATGGCTCAAAAATTCATCTGTTTCCTCCGATATTATCTCGGTAATCGACAAAAAAATTCAACAAGAAAATGATTTTATAGAATCGGATTGTTTACAATTATTTTACAATCAAAAATTTGTTCAAGAAACAAATGTTTATTTTGATAATAAATATAAACAATTATATGTTAGACGACCATGGGATAGTGAAACAACATTTATAGATCTTCCCAATAAATTATGTCAATTATTAAATATACGAGGATTTGAAAAAAATATTCGATTTTTATTAAAAGGAACAATTGAAGAGATTCAAAAGCACTTCACTACAAATTCAATTGAAATACCAACTAAAAAAGACATCGTTATCTTAGAACGATTGTCAAGATCTGGTAATCAGATATATTTCTCCTTCATAAAACATATTAATCAACCTTTTAATTTATATTATTTGTAGATATTCTTCAACAATCAAAACCGTCTGCCACACCTTCACCTAAGTCAACTGAGACTACAACATCTCCACCCGAGTCAAACAAATCTACCTCTTCTATTAAAAACAAAGAAACCCGTAGTAATAAACATGAATATACTACAGAAACGACGGGAACATTTATTGATAATTCAGCAAATCGAAAATATAACACTGATACTGTACTTGCCTTACAACAGCTTAATCAAGGTTTTCCACAATATTATCCATTTTCTTGTTCTGGTAATTATGTGTTAATGGAAATTATTGCTTAGCTTTTCTCAGATAAGAGTAAGATAGACATGATCTAAATACTCATTAATTGCACTAATCTTTTATGCACTTATGTAAATAAAACAATATTTGAAGATGATTTATAAAAGCGGTACGAGACATAAAATCTAATTTTACTGTTAAAGGAAATATAAACTGGAAACGACCTTTTTTATGTACCATCTTCAAAACTTGATGACTCTGGACATTGAAATGATATGCGGAGCTTCTACACTGATCTTAATTAATCTGGATAAACGTGTAAAATGATCTCGACAGCTTGTAGATTAAATATTCGGAAAGATTCTCAAAAGTTGCGAATCCGATGTCTGAACATGGAAGAGGAATTAAGCTACTAATATTACATTAACCCTTTGAGCCCCAGTGGGAAGTATACTTCCCACCTTGAGAATTTTCAAACCTTCGAGTTTTTGAGAATTTTCGAAAAATATTTTCAGTAAATGTTGGAAGCTAGTAGAGATCCGTACAAGACTACACGGATGATAGAGTGTATGGAAAACATAAAAAAGTACACCTTGCCATGTTTTTTGGCCCCATCCCCTTCCTCAAAAAATGTCAATTTTCGTCAGAAATTTCAAAATTGAGATAAATACATAGGAAGATAGCCCGTCTTCGGATCTTTCAGAAATAATATGGTTTTTTATCCAAAACTTGCTTTTTGGCTAAAAATTTTGATGACTTCTGTAATCAGCTGCTTGAAAAACAGACTTTTTTTTGTATAAAAAAACAAAAAATCTTTTTCGTTATTTCTCGATTTACGATTTTTTGATTTTGTGGCCAAGAATTCTTTGTCCAGACTCATTCAATATATTTAAATTTTTTTGTTTGAAAGATCATATCAAGATGCAGGGCACTACAGAGTCTCTTTTTTAAATTAAGCTTTATTTTTATTATACATACAGACACTTATATAACTAGACACCTATTTTTGGCGCAGTTTTTGAGTCGTTGAACTTGTGATCCCCTTTCTCCGCTAAAAAAGGAAGAATTTATAAAAAGAGCTCTGTGATGCCCTGCATCCTGACATGCTCTGTCTAACAAAAAAAATTAAACGTATAGCACGAGCCTGGACCGAGAAATATTGGACGCAAAATGAGCTATTTTTTACCCTTGTTTGGTGAATATCTCGCTCAAATGTCATCGTACAGGATTGAAAATTTTATCGCAGCCTCTCCACTACAGCCCCAACATATCCTGAAAATTTCAGCAAATTTAGCTCAGTAGAAAAATTCGGACCTCAAAGGGTTAAAGATGAAGTCGAAAATTTGTCATTAATTATCATTATAAAAGATAGATTGAGGATGTATTGGTAGGAAGTGAATAGAAAAGGAAAGTCGACAATGGAGTAAACGTGTCGAACATGTTTCTCCACATTATCTCAAGAACATTGAGTGAGTTTTTTTACTACAGATGCAATTCAAGTGCCGATCCAAGAAATGAATCCAACACTGGCCAACTATGGAAGACCATTAACATCTGCTTTTATTGAATCAGAAGGTGAACAACTTAATAATATCGAATTCATCGATGTATCGTCAATAACAACATCAAATTTAGTATTATTTCAAAGTCCATTTGATGGAACTGAAGAATGTGATGATTTAGATTTAATCACTGGACGTATTGGTGAAGAAATGGTGTATGAATATTTGTTAAATAAATATTCTGATCAGTTAAATTTAGTTTCTATCAAATGGGAGAATCAATATAGAGAAACTCACCAACCTTATGATATTTCATTAACTAAACATGGAATTACACATTACATTGAAGTAAAATCAACACGAACATATAATCAACATATATTTCCATTATCAATTAATCAAATTGAAACTTTTTTAAAGCATAAAGAAAATTATTTTATTTATCGAGTTTATATAGACGAGAAAAAATTCATCATTTTAGATAATATTCGATGGCGTTTAATACAAAAACGACAATTGGCTTGTTTACTAAGAATTATACCAATACCATTAGATCAAACCGTTTTGACGTCTGATTAAATTTGAATGCTAAATGAAACTTTTCCTTTAATTATATTTCGTGTTTTATTATTCAGAGATTTTTTATGATCACTTTTATTCTCGAAATAAAATTTTTTATATTTGAGAAAAAGTTGTCTATCATATATGAAATTCGAAATATCTCTCTATTCTATCGCAGTTATGTATGCTGATCTCTGCGCTCAATGGAGAAAAAAGCAGATTTTGGTGATTTTTGACGGATTCTAGCATCCGCTTTTCCCGTCTTGTCTTTTGTTTCTCTTGATATTTTGACATATTATGTAGTTCAATCATTTGATTGTAAAAGATTATTTAGCAAAGTCAAAGTTATTACTTACCCAAATGAAAAAAATAAAATCCAAAGAGTTAATTTCCTAGACTACTAGGGAGAACTATATGAAAAAAATCACATTATTACTGCAAACACGTTTTTTCATGATGAAATTCGGGCCAATCAAGTGTTTTTGCTTTCTATGTTTTTGTCAGTCACGTATTGTTAGCTTGTTTCGTCGAGCAATCGATATCTCCCTTTTATTTTAAAGAAAACATCATATATATATATATATAAATGTCCTTCACGTACATATATTCAATAACAAAGAAAAGAAAAGAAAAGATTACATAACAAACAAAGAGAAGAAAGAAAACGAAAGCATCGAGGGGTATAGTGAACCAGTATCACCGTTAACAGTCCTTCCCCCTTACAAGAGATGTGTGTCCCCACACAGTAGTGTTCATCAATTGAAGAAAAAAAAAAATTTAGTTCTTGAACAATTAATTTATCACTTAATACGTATTATAATCATATCAGATATTTCAGATCCCAAAAAAAATAATGTTAAAGAATTACTAAATATATCAAAATGATGATCAGATGTAATTGTTAATAAATAATCGAAAATGTATTGAGGTGTAGTTCGTCATCAATAACGTATTATATGTTGATCATTTAATAATATCATTATTTCTATACGATCATCAATTGTATATGTCTTATAGATTTTAATTCATCATTTATTAATTGCCAACATGTACATCAGATTTTCGAATATCAATTACAATCATGATACTTTTGTATCAATAAAATAAACTTAACTACGTAAATATCGGTTGTCAGTTCATGATTGTTTTAATTGATCATTTAATATAATTGTTAAAATCATTATTATTATTATTCATTTTGTTTTTTATTATTTTTTTTTTGTTGTTTTGTGTAACAGAATAATTTCCATTAGTTAGTATATGAAAACATTGTGAATTACAAATTTATAATCAAGTAATGAACGTTCACAATTTAATGTAAATAAACATGTCGGACAAAATATTATTGAAAAGTTTCGTTGTATTAATTCATTGAGACGATCATATATAGAATCAGATTCAATCGTATATTCATTAAGTAAATCGTGAAGTGAATGTAATTTATAACTACATATTAAAATTATATTATTGAGTAGATGCATATATATGTAATATCAATAAAAGAATGTTCGATATTAATCAATAATTAATGTTGAAATTAGTACTATGAAATATTTCGATCGTATGAATATGAAAGAGCATTCATAACAAATGTATGTTCAATTTGACTTGTTATAATATGTTGAAGTTTATTTAAATTTGATTTACGAATTCCACGAATAGCTAAATTATTTGATTCAGTACCACCACTTGTAATTATAATTTCATTTAAATCAATTATTCGTAGTTGTAATATATATTCGGTGATTGAGATTGAT